TGGTTATGGAAACATGTATCCAAGTCTCCTCTTTCTAATGGTGAAAACCGCAGGTCTCTATCTATCTTCTACCAAAAGTTATTCAAAAAGTGGCACTGTCTCTTGTATTTTGGTATGGATAGTAGTTAGTGTACAGCAGGAATCCCACAAGATAACATTTTTTACTTGCAGTCGATTAGTGTGTAGTATTTTGAAGGTGTTGATTTCTATTCAGAAGAGTCTTCAATCCAGCAACCAGCTCCGTCATATATCAAAGATATCGGCCTTAGTTATTCGAGATGTCTGTTTTGTTTACAAAGGAAAACAATTATCTTCGATCAACAAGAAAGAAACAAACAAGAAAATTACAAGAAAAATTATTCAAAGATATATAGTATAGCTTTATTAGCATAGAAATTATCAAAGTTTTACTAACAAGAAATAAATCAATAAACAAACGGATAAGTTATTGTTTTGTCTTTAATCAGAAATATAAACATAAAACATGACTCTTATACATGAAGGATGCCTATAGGTAAATAACACAATGAACAAAATTAGTCGAAAAAAGATAGCACCAGTTTTATGGGAAGACATTTATAATGAAAAAGAATCACATTTTGGTTGTCAAATAACACTCACTGTTTGATAGAAAACGATAAATATACAATCAAAAAAGGTAATAAACAGAATTACGACAGAACGAGAAAACACGAGCGAACAAGATGATACTAAACTATCCAATATAAGCACAATTATTTTATCTCTCATTCAAAAGTGACCACTAAATCTTCTTTATGTAGAATTTTGATATCATCTATAATAAGTCGATTAATATCTTCAACCATTGTTGACACATAGTGGCAGAGTTCTTGCGAAACAGGTTTAGCTGATAAAACGCTGACCAATGTTGTGGAACCACAATCAGGCAAAATGGCTGAAGACGAAGAAGACAATGATGTAGAACTGGTATTGTTACTGATTAGTGTGTTATTGACTAAATTATAATTTTTCTTTTGCATAAGTGTCTGTAGCGTTTTAATCAATTTTGCATTATGTTCACCATCTTGTCGCGTTGATGATGAAAAACTACCATCATCATTAGATAGTGTAGACTGTACGACTGGTGGATTCTTTTCCCATTCAATAACATCAATTAATTTCGGGAACATATTTTCTACGATCGTTGTCATTTCAGCAAACGGATTTGGTTCAGGTGACGTCTTTTGTGGTTCAACAGATGTGACACTTTTTTCAGTGGAATTTACAGGCTGAGTGTGGTTCGGAGGAAGCAGACTAAATAGACAATATAAAAAGAAAGATTTTTTATCGAGATAGACAATAACAATAACGAAGACTTACAGTGTTGTCTCGTTTGGTGTAAGGTGATCACTTTCATCATCCTCTTGATTTTTACAACAAATGTTTCCCATTTGTAGATTAAATCGTCAATAAAAGAATTTGGCAACTTTAGAATAACGGCGTTTATCTAAAACAGAAAAGACAGTCCATCTTCTTTACCTAAAATCTGTTTCTAATGATAATTTGAAGCAAAATGTATTTGTTTTTACACTTTCTTTTAAAAATCGAATTCTGAAATTACCATTTAGATAACGTATAAACAAAAGATCTCGATTAATTGCTACAGTCCTTAATAAAATTATGCCCAAAAAACATAGAAAGGAGAAACACACACAACGAATCGATAGACATATGAAACGACTTATTTAACTGTTCACACATTGGATCTAACATAAGTGAGAAGCTAAATGAAACAAAATAAACATACACTACTATAGTACAGAAAATGTTTTTAATTCGACAGTTATCGTACCATGATGTTAAACAATTATCGTCAATGTTACACTAAGACTGATTTTAATGACAACATCAATTTACTTTTTTTCTTTTGGATCATTGATTTTTTTACTCTTACCTCTTTGTGTTTATTATCAGTGAAATTGGTGAGTTGTTATTTCGTTTACGCGAACGTTTTGTAGTCGCATAGTATAGTTCATAACCGGACGCTATATTAATTGATAATATCGTCGACGATTTTCATTAAAGTAAATATTGCGAATGCCTTCAAGATAAGACTGACGCTATGAAGGATTATGGCAAAAAGCAAGAAAGCTGGCTGTTCGTACTCGAATTTTGCGCTGAAATCGCGTCTGAATCTTTTATAAAACCACGTATCAAAAGTTATATTATTTCAGTTTTGTATAATGTGATCCTAATGTCCACGGATTTTTGTTAAATTGTTTTTTTAATGCTTTAAGTAATACGCTAAACACAACCAATCATAAAACGTACAGATAGATAAATAAGTGCTTGGTCGCTCTGCTTTGAAACAGGAGAACATATCACAAGATGATTCACAACAATCTGTCATTTCCTTATCATTTATCATCATACATAGAGAGAAAAGAGGTCGTGACGTATCCAAAAACCGCTAAAAAGCCAACCTATGTCTTCAAAGAAGATGTTCTATACGCTTTATTATGTTATGTTCGATTAAGGTGTAAACCAGGTAAATTTCAATTTTATTTAATATTTAATTTACATTATATACAGCGTGCACATTAGAGAAGGGAACGATCAGATTAGCTCAGATGTGCAAGTTAGAAGTCAGCCTGTGGTATCAACATGAGTTTACGTTGATTGTAACCTAAGCAGAAGTTAAAACCAGATCTTTACCACTACACGCTTTTTTGCCCACACCACTATTCTACGATGAAAATCGGAACAAAAGTTCCAGAGTTTATCAATTAAATACTATTGTGCGCTTTTGTCTCCAATTGTATACCCGATTATTTTTTCATGCGCTATCTCTTCAACGGCCCAAAACAAGAAGTACAGACATATGAATTACGAATGATAGCTACCATGACATCGTGAAAAACACCGACACTTGTGTACATTTCAGTGACATCTATTCGAGTTTGGTGTTACATGTTCTTTCTCTGACTCCAAAAATCCTTCGAGAAAGATAGTCATCAGAATAAAGTACAGTTTCATAAACATTTGTTTGATCAAATTTGAGTTGCTTACAGTGTGGTCAAAATTTCACTTTGATGGAAGTTTACCGAACAAAGCTTTTTGTCTGATTGGTTCTAACAGGAAAGAAAAGTACACAGTTATTGATTGATGAATATTCGCAGGTTTATCAAGTAGAGTATGGACTTCTGTTACCCCCTGTTCTACCATGCTATGCACTGCGGTTGTTGATTTCTCAAGTGGAGATCATGGTTGTTCTTTGGTTAGCTACCTTTATATATCATTAACGTATTGATTTTTCTCTGAATAATTGTTGGAGGGGAGTTGATCAATATTAACTGAATTAATGTCTTCTGTTATACAAATGAAGTATGCGCAGCGAATTGAAGTTTTATAAAAAATCTGACTTTTTTAAAAATTGTGTATCTTTGCGAATCCTTCTGTTAACACTTGTGTAGGACAGCTAGACACACGTTTTGACCAAATCTGTAGCAACTTGAGTTTGCCTATTTTGTACAGTAATCGGAAACTTTCATCTTAAATAAACATTCAAGATTTTTGATGAACCGGTTGCTGGTCTTTCGCTTTCCCTGTGTAGTCTTGCATAGGACTATCTGTCTGACTTTGAGAGACTTACACGTTTATATTGAGTCTAAGTGTATTTCTTGTTAATGCTGTATAAGGGGTCACTCGTGATGTCCTTCATTTTCTCTAAATTGAAAGACATAACGCAGCGTATATTTAGCATTATCGTTCGTTTTCCGTTTCAGATGGATAATAATTTTAAGACTAAATTACAACGGATTATCGCTTATCAAGATATTTTAACGCGTAATCATCATCTATCCCAACGGAGTTGTGATGCAGGTATGATGGGAAGACAGTCATTTCCGTATTTAATATACGCTGCTCTTTGTTTCAGAATTTCGTGCTTTCTTGGATTTTCACAACGATTTACGTCGAAAATATATTGATCTGAAAACACGTACACAACAGTTAGAAATTCAAGTTGAGCAACATCATATTGATCTATCAAGAAAGGACAAAAAAATACAATCACAAAGGTATTCTATTGGATTTACAACTTTTCCTTGTGTAATTAAAGACATTTTTCTCAATCTTTTCTGATATTGTGCCATTTCATCAACTTGATCACAAAGAAAAAAGTATATGTGCACAACCGAGCGCATCAAGTTATGTGCCACTTTCCATAAATCAAAACACATTTCTAATTGATAATATTAAATATATTGTATGCGTAAGTAATCTCTGAGCCTTGAGAAGTATCTGTAGCTTCCGTCTGGATTTTCAGAACTTGATGACATTTAGTTACCGTAGCTACAAATAGATGAATTCTCCTCTTTATTGTTTTATTCTCAAGTATGCTTAGTTTTCTTGTTAATACTATTCTGACCTGTTAATAATTGTACAATAACATTAAAAGAATGTTATTAAAATAAGTTGATAGTATGCAATGGCAATTCTGGTTTTCTTTTATTTTAGTTCACAAATTTTACGTTTGAGTCAACATAACAAAAAATGTAACGAGCGTCTCTTACAACTGGTAAGAACGATAAAAGTACTTAAAAGCGACTTGATAATTATTACTGTACTTTGTAGCAACGATGTGTAAATCACATAAAAGGGACAGTTAATGAGCAAAATACGTTTGATCAACTTCGGGATATTCTTCGGTAAGATTTTGTTCAAAAAGTTAACCAATGATTCTCACTCAATATTCATCTTCAACTTCATAGAGATTCAATCGTGTCTGATAGTGAAACAACTGATTTATCAGATAAAAATTGTACAGGTGAAGAGCTAGAATATGAAAGAAACAATATTCCAAAAGTTGTTAGTCAAACGAATGTGGGTGGTGGTATCAAACGGCCGCAACACATGGATGATTATCGTGATGATGCATGTGTGAATAAAGAACAAAAAAGAGCAAAACATGAAGATGTAAGTGACGAAGAGTGGAATGACATATTGAACTAATCCGCTCGAATAGATATTTTTAAATCTAATGTTCACAGATTTAAGACCGTAGGAGAACAGGCATGATTATTCTGTAATGTTTTTTTGTGCACTTGTAGTGTATTTCGTTGAATTGTACCGTTAAAACTACTTCGGAGAGAACGAGCTCTATTACCGTTCTGCCTACTGTAACACCTTTTTTGAGTAATATATTGCGTTATTGCTTCGTTATGGATAAAGAATAGTTTGGTTTTGTGAAACTTCCTCTCATTAATTCATAAGGAGTGTAATTGTGAAGTGTGAAATTTCAATAATCTTATCACACCTCTTCTACGCTATACAAAATGACAGTTGGTCATGATGCATCAATATGCAAGTAGAAAAGACCATGAAATGTAGTATAATAATGAAATCGATAAAGATAAGTAGATACGGCGAATAGATGGTAATTGGGTTAATTTAATAGGAAATGATAGCCTTTTCTTCACCATCATCGAAACACAAACACTGAGTTATCGTATTATTCAATTAATTTCAGAAGTAAATCACCTGTAGGATATATATTTTCCAGTAAATATGTTGTGTCTAGGGCTGTGACAGTTATCATTAGCGTTACAGTAACTGTGACTGCTGAACAGTTGACGTTCTTGGTAACGGTAACGGGTAAGCAGTTACCGTACAAGTAACGATAACGACCAGTTACAAGTAACGGTAACTGTTCAGTATATCTTTCAAGAGCCAAATGTCTAAATATCTAGGTATCCAGGGTGAGGGTTAGGCTACGAACTTTCACCCTCACCCCGGATACCTAGATATTTAGAGATTTGGCTCTTGAAAGATATACTGAACAGTTACTGTTACTTGTAACTGGTCGTTATCGTTACTTGTACGGTAACTGCTTACCCGTTACCGTTACCAAGAACGTCAACTGTTCAGCAGTTACAGTTACCGAGCAACAGTAACTGGTAACTGTCACAGCCCTAGTTGTGTCATCTCTTATAGTTGAACTTGGTTAGAATAGTAATATCTGTGCATTTTGACTTTTTAACCTTAAATATAGTATTTGCTCTTTTGTTTGTTTTAGTCGAATCATATGATTACATCACCACGTTCTGGTCGAATTGTTGCGACAACAACAACAACCGTAGATATGAATGAGAACAATGGACCAGTTGTGATTACATCAGAGATTCATCATAAGGAAGTGAACTGGGCTGATGAAAAACAGCAGGAACCACGAGCGACAAGTGACTTAGTCCATTCACCGCATATATCAAGCCCCTATGGTAATATTGGACGCGTTCATGCAGCAACAACATCTTCAGCATCCACACCCACACGTCATCATCATCAAAGACAATCTATTGTGCCAAAGAAAAAAGTACGAAAACCGTCACAAGAGTTTTTACAAACAAAATCAGGTAAAGAAAAAAATGTTTAATCTGTAAAAAACAAATGTGACCGCTGACTCTTTTTCTTTTACTACAATTGTTAGATTTCTTCTCTAGCGATTGTGTTCTTCAGCTGAATACATTTTTTACGTTCTCTTTTGTTTGTTTTGTTTTAGAAGAGTCTGAGTTAAGCACAGATGATTTATTTTGGGAGAAAAATGATGACGATAATAAACGCCATAAACCAAAACATATTTTACATGAAGAGCCAGAAGTTGTTCTTACACCAACAAATATTGATAATCAACAACAACGAACTTTGACAAATACTCCTCAACTTCCAGGTACTCCAAATACGAATTTTACAATGAAACCAAGTCCTTCCGGAAGTGGAAGTGTTGGTACATTACGTACACGTGCTCATAATTTTATTTCAAGATCAATACTTATGCCTGAAACATGTTGTGTTGTACGTATCTCATTTCTAATATAACCACTATTGTCTGTCTTTATCTTCTACTACGTGGTGCTTTTTCAGTGTATAAAACGAATTCATTTTGGAAAATTAGCATATCGTTGCTTATCGTGTAGTGCTCTCTGCCACATGTCGTGTAAAGAAAATTGTACAACACTATGCCTACCAAATGTTAAAACACCAAGTCGTGGTGCTATCGCAAATTTCACACCAAAAGAAGGACCAATGATTCCATCTATTCTAGTTCATTGTGTAAAAGAAATAGAACAACGAGGATTTCAAGAAGTTGGAATATACAGACTTAATGCGTATGTATTTTAGTATTTTAGTTTTATACTCGCAACACAACTGTACACTATGTCTAAGATTGAATGAGTGTATGCTGATATATAGAGAAATTAGGCAGTACATGTATCTTGTTTCATTGAGAACTGTAACAAGTAATGTTCATTAAGTACTGTTTAAGAGCATGAATAACACGTCCATGACGCATTGCATCTTTTGCCCTCTTGATGTTCTTACCCTTTCTCCGATAAAAAAATGAAGCTATTTTATCCATGTTGACAAGAGTTTTTCTTTGATATAAGTCCTCAACTTTTATTTATCGAAGAGCTCGTCCAATTTGTTTGATTGATATCAAGATAAAACTGTTTACTTATTTTTAGCGTTGATAGCCAAGTGAAAGCTTTAAAAGATCGTATATTAAAGAGTCGCACGGGCATGTTTGATTTATCACATATAGCCGATATCAATACAATATGTGGCGTTGTCAAAGATTTTTTACGTTCATTATCGGAATCATTATTAACTCAACAATTATGGAAAACTTTTGCATTGGTTATTGAAGAAGAGAGTGATTATATCAAACAACAAAAATTAGAATTATTGATTCTTCAATTACCAAAACCAAATCGCGATACGCTAGCATTTATGATATTACATTTACAACGTGTTGCTGCTACGCCACAATGTCGTATGCCAATATTAAATCTGACGCGTACAATGGGACCATGTATCATTGGATATTCATCGAAACATGTCAATGGAATTGATGTTGTAGGTGAAACATATAAACAAACAAAAATTTTAGAATTTTTTCTCAAAATGTCAAGTGACTATTGGGCAAAATTTGTCGATGAATCCGCAACAACAACAAATGAACATGAACAACCATTGACACCAATCAAAATGAAGCAACATCATTTATATCCATCTCTTCATAGAAATGTAACACCTAGTGCACCCTATTATCTACAACAAAATAATAACTTTTTCTCACCGATATGAGTCCGTTTTTTGTATTTATTAATGTACATGGAAAAAACAAATCCAAGTCAGAATTCACTTCACCTTCTCTCCATATCATGTATGTCTTTGTGTACATACGAATATAAAATTTGTGCCTTTTCTTTTTCTTCTAATTTGTGTATAAGCGTGTATCAGATCAACAGACAGCGTTTGTCTTCTTTTTGTTGTCTTTTTCTATTTTATTTCGATATGCCTTTTTGTTTGATTCTTTTTAACACAATCATCTGTCAATATTTTCGACCAAAAAACAAAGTTTAATGTTGTCTTCCCATTTCTTTGTGCCTTTTTTTCATCTAAAATAGAATTGAAAATAAAACAAAATAAAATGTGTGTTGTAACACAGACAATTATAACAGCATTAAAGAACACACTATACACCATCTAATTAAGAACTTCAACCGCATAGATGGTTAAGTCAGATATCCTTAACCATTTAGGGATGTCTTTTTTCTAATAGAAACATATCATGGGACACTAGAATCATTTTTTACAACTAAGTTTCTCGATGTTTTTCTAAAGAGTTCTTGACGCCTTCGGTTCCTAAAAAGATTTCTAGAAAACTTTTCCTCACATGTTTTTCAGTAATACATAGGTTAGATGCAGTTTCTTACGTTATCAGGAATATTTCCTTTAAAGTCGAAAAAGCTTGACATCCATAGAATTGCATGCAATTTTCATGCACAATTAAAGGAACTTATCTGGACGTTCACAAAGAGGCACGTTGTGTCACTCAAAAAGTTTTCTTTCTGCTAATGGTCTTTTAGTAAGATAGAAATCAGGTACTTCTGATTCGTTTAATGGTACCTGGTCGGAGTAGTCGGATAAGAGAAATTTTGCTAAGGGTTATCCAATAATCATTGGAACAAACCGATATTTATTATACGTTTAGTTACTCAATTTCTAAAATTGGCTACCCTTTGTTTGTTTGTTTATTCATACAGGTTAGATAGAACCTCGTCAATCAAATTATCTACAGTACTTATCACCTTAAAGTTATTATATTACAGCCGAGGTAAACCAAGGTATTGCCAAACGTCTTCCTCGTTAATGTCGACGATTATCTGTGCATTGTTTGCTCCCTTCTCATCCCACAGAAGTCTTCTTTGGTACAAGACACAAGTACGCTTACGTCCATCCATAGATAAATCAAAAACGCCAAATTTTACCGTTATATCGCAAACTTATCAGCGTACGGCACTTATAATCAGCCATGATCCTTACTTGCCTGTTATGAATGTTCGTGTTTTAAATTTGGTTGAACATTGACTGTCCCTATTACAGCACAAGATTAATCTATAGATTAATCTTAGATAGCCTATGCGATGAATGTGCAAGCAAAAAGGATAGAGAAACAGTAAAGTAAAATAGAAAATAAAAGAGTAAATAAACTCGCCGATATAGCTAGGGTGCATTTTAAAATTTCTCAGTTATAATATCAGAAGAGCTTGTAGAGCATTTGTGATACATTTACTGAATGATCTTTTTGAATTTTAATCCTTTAGTATATATATATTTATATCGTCATGGTAAGGCTATTGTTGATAAAATATATTACTGATAAAAATTGCGAAAAACCCGTATAAATATATTAAAAAAGCACAATAGATCGTCAAGAAAAAATTTAAAAAACCAGTCATCGATAACGAGTTTGATTATTGGAAGAAACGAAGTTTAGTATTCATATCCCTAAATAGAAAATGTTGCAAATATTTTCATATATAAAAGTAATCAACACTATAAGTAATAGAATTACTGTGGCTTACGTTTCCTATTTGTTGTACTCGAGTTTTAAGTTCTTCTAATCTAAACATGACCAATAATACAAAAATATATTTGTTGATTAACATATTCAAATATTGATACTTACTTTTGCTCTAAACTTTCTAATGTTATTTCTGTTCGACTTTTCTCTTCATGTCGTAATGTATATCTCCAATAATCTTCGGCAATTGCACTTTCTCGTTGCATAAAATCAGTTACTAGAATTGATAAATGTGTCATCAATCGTTTCAGAATTACTAAACCGTTGTTTTTTACTTTTTGGTTCGTTGACTAAAGTTTGAGTTCTGATTTTTAATGGGATATTATCAATGGATGCCGTTACTGTAGAAGGAGAAAAAGTAAACTTTAGAGATACTGATAATGTTCATGTTTTACGGACCATGTCGACGACACAAATGAATTTGTCTGAACAACCATCGAATTATCGTAAAAACATAATAAAAAGTATTGAACGGTGGTGGCAATGGTGTTTTTTTTGAATACTCATTGACAATCAAAAATCGTTGATATCGCCATAAACTATGGGATTTTCCTTGAACTTTTTGAATAGTTACACTAAAAAACAATAGAATAGTAATGCATATGTCTGGGCATAACAAAAAAAAAAGATTTCTTACTTAAATAACGCTACTAAAACGTTTAATAATAATACATTTGAAACGGTAACGAAGATAATTGCTAATACCCATGCAACGTCATTGTAAGGATCATTTCCATCTAAATAATGTGGAGATAGTTTGACATTTTTTAATCTCAAACAAATTACTCACCGAAAGGGTCTACTTGACCAAATACTTTCCATATTCCATGGTTTGTTACATCTCTTAAATATCTCCATGTCCACAATCCACTTCCGGCATTGAGAACAGTTGCATTAAATAATTTTCCATCGTCGGTATAGATCCAATTTACTTGGACGGTAGTTGTTATTAATGACCATGATGTAATGGAAAAAGCAAATAAAAATATGAGAATAAAACAAACAAAGAACAATAGATCTTTCATCTAAAAAACATACGTAATCACATAATTTGATCGTTTCGTCAATTCTATTTAACTCTTTTTCTTACCGTATTATATATCATAATGAGTTTTGGTCCAAGTTTTTCGTAGGCAGCAAATAAATGCAATGTACGAACAAACCATACGATTAAATCAAGACATAAAAATATTCTAAAATGAAGACATAACAGTTGTGAGATATAACGAAGCTTTTTCTAATGGTCATAAGATCTATACATACTTTGAAATTGCAAAGAGAGTTTCGTTAACAATAAAACGCGTAATAAAACCAATAAGATAAAGTGCGAAAGCAGTTAAATCAAAAATATTCCAAAGTTCTTCAAAATAATCTGAATAGTTGTCCGTAAGTACAAACTAAATTAAAAATATTAAAAAAATTAAAATAAGATTTTTTGACATGTCTTAACTTATTAATAATATTTATGTTACCTGTCGTATTTCTTCCAATATCAAACTCCAAATACAAATATGTAAAAACATTTCTGTTATTGGTATTTGAAGATTTTTTATCCCCGAACGTTTTTCATTATAAATATTAAGTGGAAAATAATCAACAAGTAATACAAAACTGAATAATATTAAAAATACAACGAAAAATATCTAAATTGATCAACAGCATGTAAATGTACAAAGATAAATTAATTTTTTTAACGTACGACTATACCAGATTGTAATGAAAACGAACAATGGGTGCATCGTAAAAGTATATGACTTTGTCTACTAATCGAGTATGAGGCTGTAATTCACAGTCTGATCTAAATACAAATACATTAAATTTTCTCAACTATGACATGACATATATTTACTTAATAACCGTTCGAACAGTATGCTGTCTTTGTTTTGGATCGTTTACTAACTACACAAAGAAAAAAGGTATCACGGATATTTAATAAATAGTCTTGTTTATTTTACCTTTGTATGCTTTTGAACATATGGTAAAAGTACGGAGAAAATTGGAATTAATGGAAAAAAAATTGAGGCTACAAAGATCTGACATTTAAGAAAAAGAAAGAGAATACATTATGATAGAACTAGTTTAAAATGAGTAGATTATACCTTAAAATTGATCCATGGTCGTTTATAATTAATATTACCATACCATTTATTATCTAAATATTTTTGTACTGTTCTCGATGCTAGAAACGATCGACAATCAGCGTCTAGTGCTAATTTTAATACATCAACATTGAATAATGCTTGTGCTGGTCGCTTGAGAATATCGACAGCAAAGTTTTCATCATTATCAAAACACGTATCAATTAAAGCATTTGCATATGTATCAAACTGCCTAAAAAACAAGCGACAGTTCGTCCCAGTGAATAAAATTATTGATTAACAACGTATACATGGCATAATTTTCATATTTCTCTTGTTTATCTGGATCTAATGTTGATTTTACTGCCAAACGATAAATTTTGGCACCAAATAATGGAGCAACAGATTGATTCTACAAAAACAATCGCTAGTGTTGAAAAATACTATTTGACCTATAAATAATGGTACTCAACCCATGTTTTTGAGCATAAATATTTTGCTAATTCGAGACGATTGAGAAATATCGCCCATAAGAACAAATCTCTTGGCGCATTTTTACCAAGCATTGTCTCTGTGTTAGTCCCCTAAACGACGCCCGTTATAAACATGAAATACCGATGTGCAGCGTACATATGCCACTGTTCATTTCACAATTGAGTGAATGCAGGCCAGGATTGCCACCTTTTCTGGTTTAGGCCCAAAATTACGCGCTTTTCACTTCTCAGGATCTCGTCCGCCTGCCAGATTTGAAAATGTATCTTTATTGTGACTAATAGTTTTCTCTCTTACAAACAAGCGTAAAAAAGGTGCTTTTCTGACTTCTAAAGACGGCAACCCTGATACAGATGCTTTCTGAATAACTGGACAATGAACAGCGATAAAGACTTCCAGCGTCCGACAATCGAAACAGAAGCCATGAGACTCTCGTTTCATTCGAACCACATTTTAAAACTCTATTGTTATGGAGATGTCTCTGAAAACATCGCTTCACATCTCAATCATATTTGGATTATCAATATTTTACCTGAATGAAATTTCTTAAATATTGATTATAATAAGAATTTTTTATTTTTCCTTGCTCATCTTTCAACGGCAAATGATCATTATACTACAAATAATAATGTTAATTGATTAACGTTGAACACTATAATTTTCAATATTTTTGTAAACCTGAGTAATTCCGAATGCGTATAATTGGCCTAAATTTTTTTCTGTTATTTTTTCTAACGATGCACCAAATTCACATAGTAATTCCACAAAATTAACTAGTCCACGCCTTAAAGCATCCATCAGCGCAGTATGTAAATCTTCTTCCTAAATAACAACAAAAAAATAGTTTTATATACTAGCATGAATTACAAATTTTTTTAACAATTATATACATTCCATTTTGAAATTGTTGTATCAGTTAAAATGTTTTGTTTTGCGTAATCAAACTTCTGCCACGCCTTTAAAAAAGAAAAGATCGTAATTTCTAAAAAGTAATGATTAATGGTCTAGGCATCCATTTTCTTACCATGGTTAGTTTTAATTTAGCCAATCGCAGATGTTGTTCATCATCGACTTCAGCAAATTTGGCAGCTAAATTAAATCTATATCAGTTAGAGATCTACAAAAAAACGAATTATTTACCGTTGAATAAAGCTTCTAATATAGCATCCTCAAGATTTCCATGGTGTTTTACACTATCGAATTTAAAAATTGTGACTAACATTTTTCTTTCACGTAAAGTTTTACACAATTCTTCTTTAACTTCTTCAGCTTCTTTGAGCCAATCAGCGTTATCGACTCTACGAGAATAAGATATTCTAGAAATTATTGACACAAGATTTTATTCCTCACATACAATTGACTAATTTCATCACTTTTATTGTTTGTTTTAGCAGCTGTTTTTGGACGTTCGTTTTCAACATTATTATCCGTTAATAAAATTGCAAGTATATCGGCTATTAAATCAGCTGCTCTACCAGATTCCTGAAAATGTCACTTTATTACAATACTATAGCAAACTACAAATCAATTTTTCTTATACTTTAATGACAACTAACGGTGTACCACTTTCGAGTGCTTTGCATATAGTTTTGATTGAAGATGGTCCTCCTTCTACTAATACCATCACAATAGGCACCCTACCATATTCTAAATCAAGATTATTCCACGTTTTGCTTTATACATAGAATTTATTCTTTTCAAAATATAATCTACCTTTTATCGATTGTTCAATATCTTTTGTTTTCTCATTATCAATTTCAATTCGTCTTGAATATTTTTCGATTTCACCACGTTGATTTAACACGTTATCAGCTTTAACATCGCCATCATCAAATAAAAGAAAATGTGTATGATTTGGTTCTAAATCACATCGTCTGTCTTCTGGCTGTATCACTACATAGGATTTAACACCGTTCTGATCGACAATATTCTAAAAGTATTCAAGTTAATTACAAATCTTCAGCATTCATTCACTCACCGTATGAAGTTCGCTAATTCCATATCTTTCACGGTTTAAGTGTAACTTATCATCTAATTGTTCTTTTCCTATAAAAAAATTCTCAGTTTTTTCTTACTTTGAATCTCACAAGGAAACCTCGCGAGGTGATATTTCGCTTTTTGATGGAAATCTAGTGGGTTATAGGTTATCGACCATGCTGATTCCGAATATGACCATGGGGGTTGCCCAATGCTCTTCAAAGATCCAGTCTTCTGG